GGGTATAAAAACACGCAAATCTAACAAAGTTCACTTTATAGATGGTCTCCTTCATGAGGCAAATACAGTGTTTGCAGCCCTAACAGAAACCCACACAAAGGACTACCATGATGGTGAAATATGGATCTCAGAGTACAATCTTTTCAGATGTGATAGCCGGCTTCAGGGTGGGGTCAGCCTCTACATCAAAGACACACTCATCTGTACTGAGCTGCTAAACACCTCAAATGATATGGTGGAAGTGCTGATAATGAAAATAGAGATTTTAAATGTAGTTATTGTCCTTGTATATAAGTCACCGGAGGCAAACCCTCAGCAGTTTAAAGACCAACTAATGAAAATAGAACACTGCTTGGAAAACCTCACAAATCCAGCTCCGAACATCATCCTGCTTGGGGACTTCAACCTACGGCACCTGAAATGGAAGCACCTGGCTAATACAGTAATATCAGAAAGAATGCCAGGAAGTAGCCTAAATGAACAGGCACATGCAAATGACCTGCTACGGATGTGCGACAGGTTTGCCTTAAACCAGCAAATAGTAGAACCAACTAGGAAGGAGAACACGCTGGACCTCATTTTCACTAATAATGAATTGATCAGGAACATAATGATTACAAATACCTGTTACTCAGATCACAACTTAATTGAAGTTATGACAACCATGGACCTTCAAAACCAGTCCAGATTCCCGGTGGAGGAGATTTCAGCAAATTCAACTTCAATAATAAACAGATAAACTGGGAGCAAATAAACCAGGACTTCACAGAAATAAACTGGGAAGAACAGCTAGAAAATGCAAACCTGAACCAGTGCCTGGAAAAAAATAAGCTCAGTAGCACTAGAAATATGTTCAAACCGCATACCTCTAAGAAAAAAGAGGAAGAGATGCAGATTGGAACGGGAACGTCGTTCCCTATATAGGCGAAGAAAACGAATCGAGGAAAAACCTGAGAGTCGCACCCTATCTCAAGAACGGCGAAAAAGGTTAGGTAGAGAAATAGAAACAATTGAACGGAAGCTACAAGAATCATACAAAACCCAGGAGAGGCAAAGAGAGCAAAAGGCCATCAGTGAAATAGAAAGAAATCCGAAATATTTTTTCTCCTATGCAAAATTAAGATCAAAAACCACATCTAGTATCGGGCCCCTGCGAAAGGGAGATGGAACTTTCACCGATGACAACAAAGAAATGAGCGAGCTACTGAGGACGCAGTATGACACTGTTTTCAGCGAGCCATTAAACACACTAAAGATTGATAACCCAAAGGAATTTTTCATGGATACGATACCAACATCAAATCATATATCAGACGTCACCCTATCTCCACTGGATTTTGAAGAAGCCATAAACAGTATGCCTATGCACTCTGCACCAGGCCCGGATTCTTTGAACTCCATATTCATAAAGAACTGTAAAAAAACACTATCGCAGGCCCTCCACATTGTGGAGACAAAGCCTAGATACTGGCGTTATTCCTGATATACTAAAAACAGCAGAGATAGCACCACTTCATAAAGGAGGAAATAAGGCAGCGGCAAAAAATTACAGACCGATAGCACTAACATCGCACATCATAAAATTTTTTGAGAGAGTGCTAAGAAGAAAGATAACAAAATACATGGAATCACAGCAACTCCATAACCCTGGACAACATGGTTTCAGAACAGGGCGCTCTTGCCTGTCGCAGTTGCTGGACCACTATGATATGGCATTAGATGCTATGGAAGACAAACAAAACGCTGATGTAATTTACACAGATTTCGCAAAAGCTTTTGATAAATGTGACCATGGTGTTATTGCACATAAAATGCGTTCAAAAGGAATTACCGGAAAAATAGGCAGATGGATCTACAATTTCCTGACCAACAGAACCCAATGTGTAATAGTCAATAAAATAAAATCCAGCCCATCAACCATGAAGAGCTCAGTCCCCCTGGGTACTGTGCTTACTCCAGTACTTTTTCTCATCCTCATATCGGACATAGACAAGAACACAACCTATAGCACTGTATCATCCTTTGCAGATGACACTAGGATCTTCATGAGAGTAGGCAATATAGAGGACATGGCAAACCTCCAGTCAGATGTAGATCGGGTCTTTCTATGGGCTACAGAAAATAATATGGTGTTTAACGAAGATAAGTTCCAGCTCATGCGCTATGGAAAAAAATGAAAATATAAAAACGGAGACCACGTACAAAACTCAGGCAAATCATAACATAGAACGAAAAGGCAATGTAAAGGATCTGGGTGTACTCATGTCGGAAGACCTTACCTTTAAAGAACACAATAAAGTAGCCGTCACAACTGCAAGAAAAATGACAGGTTGGATAACAAGAACTTTTCACACTAGAGATGCTATACCGATGATGATACTTTTCAAAACGCTTGTGCTCTCGAGAGGAGTACTGCTGCACAATGACAGCCCCTTTCAAAGCTGGAGAAATTGCTGACCTGGAGAGCGTGCAGAGATCCTTTACTGCTAGAATCCACTCAGTAAAACATCTAAACTATTGGGACCGACTAAAGAGCCTAAAACTGTACTCCCTTGAGCGCAGGCGGGAGAGGTACATAATAATTTACACGTGGAAAATATTAGAGGGGCTGGTCCCAAACCTGCACACAGAAATAACATCACATGAGACCAGAAGACATGGCAGGATGTGCAGAATACCCCCGTTGAAAAACAGAGGTGCAACTGGTACTCTGAGAGAGAACTCTATCAACATCAGAGGTCCGAGACTGTTCAACACGCTTCCACTACACATAAGGGGCATAACTGGCCGACCCCTCAGAGTGTTCAAGAGAGAACTGGATAAGCACCTCCAAAGGATACCTGATCAACCAGGCTGTGACTCATACGTCAGGCTGCGAGCAGCCGCGTCCAACAGCCTGGTTGATCAGTCCAGCAACCAGGAGGCCTGGTCGACGACCGGGCCGTGGGGACGCTAAGCCCCGGAAGCACCTCAAAGTAACCTCAAGGTGGTGGGTGAGTGGGACAGGTGTAATGGGTGAGTGTGGCAGGTGTGGTGGATGAGGGTGGCAGGTGTTGTGGGTGAGGGTGGCAGGTGTTGTTGGTGAGTGGGGCAGGTGTGGTGGGTGCGTATGGCTGGTGTGGTGGGTGAGTTGGGTAGGTGTTATGGGTGAGCGTGGCAGGTGTGGTGGGTGAGTGGCAGGTGTGGTGGGTGAGTGTGGCAGGTGTGGTGGGTGAGTGTGGCAGGTGTGGTGGGTGAGTGTGGCAGTTGTTATGGGTGAGTGTGGCATGTGTGGTGGGTGAGTGTGGCAGGTGTGGTGGGTGAGTGTGGCAGGTTTTGTAGGTGACTGGCAGGTGTTGTGAGTGTGGCAGGTGTGGTTGGTGAGTGTGGCAGGTGTTATGTGTGAGTGGGGCAGGTGTTATGTGTGAGTGGGGCAGGTGTGGTGGGTGAGTGTGGCAGGTGTGGTGGGAGAGTGTGGCAGGTGTGGTGGGAGAGTGTGGCAGGTGTGGTGGGTGAGTGAGGCAGGTGTGGTGGGTGAGTGTGGCAGGTGTGGTGGGAGAGTGTGGCAGGTGTGGTGGGTGAGTGAGGCAGGTATGGTTGCGGAGTGTGGCAGGTGTGGTGGGTGAGTGTGGCAGGTGTGGTGGGTGAGTGTGATGATTGAATCATAAGATATGTATCACGATAAGGTGTGAGGAGAGAGGGGGAGCAAGAGGGAAGGTGTGAGGAGAGAGCGGGAGCAAGAGGGAAGGTGTGAGGAGGAACGGGGAGCAAGAGGGAAGGTATGAGGAGAGAGGGGGAGCAAGAGGGAAGGTGTTTGGAGAGAGGGGGAGCAAGAGGGAAGGTGTGAGGAGGGAGCGGGAGCAAGAGGGAAGGTGTGAGGAGGAACGGGGAGCAAGAGGGAAGGTGTGAGGAGGGAGCGGGAGCAAGAGGGAAGGTGTGAGGAGGAAGGGGGAGCAAAAGGGAAGGTGTGAGGAGGAAGGGGGAGCAAGAGGGAAGGTGTGAGGAGGAAGGGGGAGCAAGAGGGGTGTGAGGAGGGAGGGGGAGCAAGCGGGGTGTGAGGAGGGAGGGGGAGCAAGAGGGGTGTGAGGAGAGAGGGGGAGTAAGAGGGAAGGTGTGAGGAGGGATCGGGAGCAAGAGGGAAGGTGTGAGGAGGAAGGGGGAGCAAGAGGGAAGGTGTGAGGAGGAAGGGGGAGCAAGAGGGAAGGTGTGAGGAGGAAGGGGGAGCAAGAGGGAAGGTGTGAGGAGAGAGGGGAAGCAAGCGGGATGTGAGGAGGGAGGGGGAGCAAGAGGGGTGTGAGGAGAGAGGGGGAGCAAGAGGGAAGGTGTGTGGAGGGAGGGGGAGCAGGAGGGAAGGTGTGAGGAGGGAGGAGAAGGACGAGGAAGACAGGTGTGCTTGGAAGTCAGCCCCAAGAGCCGTTGTCTGTTTATGTTCGTTAAGTTTTATTGATATTTTTTCCTTTGTCGTCTTTCTTCTTAGTAACAGGAGAGTGGACTACATCCCGACCACCCCGTGGACCACATCCCAACCACCCCGTGGACCACATCCCGACCACCCCGTGGACCACACCCCGACCACCCCGTGGACCACACCCCGACCACCCCGTGGACCACATCCCGACCACCCCGTGGACCACACCCCGACCACCCCGTGGACCACACCCCGACCACCCCGTGGACCACACCCCGACCACCCCGTGGACCACACCCCGACCACCCCGTGGACCACACCCCGACCACCCCGTGGACCACACTCACACGCCGCGCCAATTGTTGAAGAATGAGTACATAAACTTGAGCTGAAATCTTAGAAAAATGAAATCCTCTGAATCAGAACAGCTTCGTGGCAAGTCAATATCGACATTCTTTATAAGAGAATAACATACTTGTTTTACAAGCAACACAACTGCGAGAGTGTTGTTATTACCTGATGACAAGCAGTAGATATCCCTGAGATAGCACTACCGCCTCTTTATTTTTTTAAACCTAAATTGTGATTACCTTATCGTCGTGACTCTGGAGACACCCGAGTGGCCTTGCTGCTATCGGAAGGTGTTGAAGGTGTTGTTCTGTTTTGACTCTGTTGTGTTGGTGTAAACTTCGTCTTCTTCGTCAGAGTTAAGTGTGTTACCAGCGGTATATACAAAACACATACAGTGGCACATTGGCTTCATCTACCTGAACATGTCGACCAAGGGTTCTCGCAGTTCGTCAGTATCTACAGTTTCTGGAATTGTACAGTAAGTGATCTATACGTTACTCAGCCTTTGACCGTACTCAGCCTCTGACCGTACTCAGCCTCTGACCGTACTCAGCCTCTGACCGTACCATCACGAGTACATTAGTTATGAACTGTTTTGAATGAAACTTTACATTATATGGGAAAGACTTAATACTGAATTGTGGCATCGAACCTAACCTAATACATAATCTAACACTTAACCTAATGCCTAACTTTCAACCTATCCTAATACCTAATCTAACAATACATAACTTAACAGAATTCATTGCCCAATATAACACTTAACCTAACACAACACATAACCAAACAATATACATGACCTTACACAACACATAACCAAACAATATACATGACCTTACACAATACATAACCAAACAATATACATGACCTTACACAATACATAACCAAACAATATACATGACCTTACACAATACATAACCAAACAATATACATGACCTTACACAATACATAACCAAACAATATACATGACCTTACACACAACACAACAATATCTAATACATAACCTAACACAATATGTTAATGCCTCACTTAGCCAGTAATCGGGTTCGTTTCCTTTAAACATTCTATCGGGCCTTAGTGCCTCTTTTTACCAGGTCCAACCGCAAGTCGGGGTGAGGTTATTAAGAACCGAACAGTAATAGTCAATCGAGCAGGAATGGGGGGTAAACAGCGCTAACAAAACCATCACCGCATGTTCTTCACTCTTATGTACAACTATATACACTTATAACATATACAGGCCGCAGATAACACTGTATGTATCACTTTTACACAAAAAAACGTCTGTGATCACGGCGAGTCCTCCTTCATACAACACTCAAGGTTCCTTTCCTGAGCCTTTCTTCTGACGTACTCATGCCGGTAAGACCATTTTTCTCATCAATTCACAGGTCAGTCCTCCACAGCATCATAAATTTCTAAATACTACCTAGAAATTCCAGCAACACGCTGGCTAGCTTCCTCTAAAGGCTCTAAAACAAGTCTTTCGTTCAGGACTGCCCTTGCTGGCCACTCCTGGCAGACTGCCTCTTGTCATCCAGGGTACCCCTCACATCACTTCTAAAGAAAAAATATTGTATAGTAAGAAAGAAACTACACAGGTGTCGGTAAGATCACAGTCTTCCACCGGGAAACAGAAAATGGGGTCAGGTGTGGTCAACAGATGGCATTAACATCGTCACACCTACCTCCCTCCTAATGAATTTTGTTTTATTTCTTGAAATAAAACAAATTAGTGTTTTAGATGCATGATAAGGCATCTGTTACTTTATAAACTCGATTTATGTGTTCAGTAATAAGAGCATACTACTAGAGGTGTTGGCTCCATATGGTTAACCTAAGATTCTTAAGACGGAACTGTGCTAAAAACTTCAAGGGATTATGGTCCAGAAAATTGTATAACCATTACTCGTCAAATAGACGTCAAAGTGTTGCACAGCGCTCACCAAGGCCAGTGTTTACTTTTCTATCACTGAATAATTCCGTTGATAATCACTTAATTTCTTGGAATAATAAGCCACAGAGTGTTCTATCCCTTTTGAATAATTTTGTGACAACACTGCCCCTATACTATAATCTGAAGCAACGACTGTTAATATGAATCTGTCATTGACATTAGGGGACATAAGAATGGGTGATGATATCAGGCTGGCTCTTAGGCTCTCAAAGGCTAGCTGACAATCCTTGGTATATGAATCTGTCATTGACATTAGGGGACATAAGAATGGGTGATGATATCAGGCTGGCTCTTAGGCTCTCAAAGGCTAGCTGACAATCCTTGGTATATGAATCTGTTAATATAATAATAATAATAATAATAATTTTTATTTAGGCAAAGGTACATACATAAAGAGATTTTACAAAGTTTGTTGGCTTTATAGATAGAGCTAGTACATACAATGCCTAAAGCCACTATTACGCAAAGCGTTTCGGGCAGGATATGAATCTGTCATTGACATTAGGGGACATAAGAATGGGTGATGATATCAGGCTGGCTCTTAGGCTCTCAAAGGCTAGCTGACAATACTTGGTCCACGTGAACGTTGCTCCCTTCTTCAGGAGATTTGTCACAGGCACTGCTATATTTAAGAAGTTAGGAGCGAACTTACGGTAGAATCCGGCCATACCCAAAATCCGTAGGACCACCTTCCGTGTTGAAGGGTCGGGTACTGAAAAACGGCTTCTACGTTGCTGTTCTTGGAAGCGATCCATCCTCCACCAACCACCTGTCCTAAAAAGATTACATGTCTTAACAAATTTCGATTTATGCAGGCTGACTTGTTGAATAACTGAAAAATTATTTTGAATAACCAACCGAGCTTGTTGCATAACCGAAAAGAATGCTTCCATTTGCCGTAAATGGATTTCCCAGTTGGAATTGTAAATTAACACTTCATTTAGATAAATAAAATAAACAAATAAAATAAATAAATATTTATTTAGGTAAAAATACATACATACAAGATGAGTTACAAACAGAATGTTGGATTTCTAGATAGAGCTAGTACATACTATGCCTAAAGCCACTAATGCGCACAGCATTTTGGGCAAGATGTGGGAAAAACACTTACACTAAAAACTTACAACTAATTGAGAACAAAAGCATAGATTGAATTGAAAAGAGGGTAAAAGAGAAAAAATATGAAAAAATTATATGATGGATGGAACAGCAGTTATTAAAACAGCAGAGCAAAAGTAATTTTAACTAAATAAACATAAGACAACATTTTTCTTCAAGTTTATTCATGGTGGATATCAGCAGTTTAACAAGTTAGTCAATAATCAATATCGTTAGTAAATAGCAAGACATAGAGTGACATTTAGAGGGTAAGGTAGGTTACATGGAGTTTATTAGGTAGCACTTAGTTTTACTCTTAAACTGGTTGAGAGAGGTACACTCTCTAACATGATTGGAAAGGTCATTCCACATTCTGGGTCCCTTGATTTGTAAAGCATTTCTAGTTTGGTTAAGTCGCACTCTTGGAATATCAAATAAGTATTTGTTTCTGGTGTCGTGCCCATGGGTTCTGTTACAACCTTCTAGGATGCGTTGAAGGACAGGATTGGCATTACAATTCAGAGTTTTAAATATATAGAGTACACTTGAGAGGATGTGCAGTGACTTAATATCTAAAATATTCAAAGATTTAAGAAAGGGGGCCCGAGTGCTGGGGCCAGCGTTTGTTATTGTTCTAACAGCAGATTTGTATTGTGTAATTAGAGGACGTAAATGATTTTGGGTTGTAGAACCCTAAACACAAATACCATAATTGATATAAGGATAGATGAGAGAGTAATAGCATTACCAGGGCAGAGCGAGGTACATAGTATCTGATTTTAGAGAGAATGACAACTGTTTTAGAAACGTTTTAAGCTATATTTAGAATGCTGTCCTAGAAATTTAGCTTGTTATCAATGAGAACACCAAGGAATTTACCATCTACTTTGTTACTAATTTGGAAATTGTTTATTCTTAGATTAATTTGATCTGAGGATTTATTACAAAACAAATATATAAGGTTTTGTCAATATTAAGGGTGAGATTGTTAGCAGTTTGCCAAAGAGGGACTTTATTTAACTCAATATTCACTGTAACATTCTGAGCAAGAGAATCAGGACTGGAGAAAATGAAGGTTGTGTCATCAGCAAATAAAATTGGCTTGAAATGTTGAGAGGCATTTAGGTCATAAATGTAGATGAGAAAGAGGAGAGGGCAAGTATACTGCCCTGTGGAACACCAATGTTGATGGGTAAGGTGGGAGAATTGGAATCATTCACAGAAACATACTGGAGCCTGTCACTAAGGTAAGACTGAAGCTATTGGAGGGAGTGATCTCTGACTCCATAGTGATGTAATTTAAGAAGAAGGTTTTGGTGATTGACAATATCAAAAACCTTACGTAGGTCAACAAATAACCGAACAGGAAACTCATTTTTTATAAAGAGCTGCATGTATCAAGTTAATCATACTAATCAGTGCATCATTGGTGCTTTTTGGGGTCTGAATCCATATTAGCAAGAGCTAAGTACACTGTATTTAGCTAAATAGGAGTATAGCTGTTTATAGATTAGCTTTTCAAATATTTTAGACAAGGTTGGCAGAATTGATATAGGTCTGAAATTGTTGACATCAGTGACATCACCATATTTGTAGACTGGGGTTACTCTGGCTTTTTTTTTTTAGACTATCAGGAAAAGATTTGGAGTTCATGTGATTTGTTGTAGAGCAATGCAATGGCCAGAGGTAGAAATCTAGACTTTTTTTTAATTAGAGTTGGTATCTCAACAAGGGCACTTCACTTTGTTTTAAGAGAAAGGATTATCTCATTAATATCATAGAAATTGGTGGGAGTTAGGTACAGAGGGAGACTCTGGATAGTTTGCTGTAGGGTAGTCCTTAATATTAGGTTGGGAAGATGGGATATCATTTGCAAGGGATGTGCCAATGGATAAGAAGAAACTATTGAATTTAGTGTTGACCAAACCACACACTAGATGGTGAAGGGCCGACGTTTCGGGCCGTCCTGGACCATTCTCAAGTCGATTGTCTTGAGAATGGTCCAGGACGGACCGAAACGTCGTCGTCGTCCCTTCACCTTCTAGTGTGTGGTGTTATGATCTCAACCTACAGGAGAAACGAGTCTCCCTCCTTGAGAGTTATTCATCAAGCCTGACCTGATCAAAAGGTCTAGCAAATATTGAGGTGATAACCCATATGAAAAAATAGTATGTTGGATTCAATGGACAGTTTAAGATTATGGGCAATGAAGAAGAAAACAGATAAATGACTGGCTAGGAGATGTGGACATTTTGCTGGAGGCGTGAGGCTCGCTTCCGGAGGGGCTTTGACCTCACTTGAGTGCCAGACATCGCAGGGGAAAGCTGCGCTCCGTTGAGCTCCCGTCAGAAGGGAACCCCTAGTGATATATCTCAAAGAGAAGAGAAGTGTGTAGACGTGCCAGCTGTGGAACTGAGCTG